TTGAACCGTGGTCCCTGTGCTTTGCAAAGCTTGTTCTAAGTAGGTGCTTTAGACCACTGAGCCATCTCACCAGCCCTGAAAACTGATTAATAGGACAGTTTCAATAATTCATACATTGTACATTGTTATCTTCTTAGTGGTTATCCATAGTACAGGATGCAGATAGGACATCCTGTCCAAACACTATCTAACGTAACTTCTTGATCCTTCACTAAACAAAGAAGTATGAAGTGATTAAATTTTTAAGAGGCTCAGGTGTGTAACAGTCAGGAAAAGCTTCTGAAGACCATCCTTCGTGCTCACTCTATCAACTGTTTAGTTCCCTTACTAAATTAAAAACTCAAGTTTTGCATTGGAAACAGCTGTTGCTTGGCAGGCATAAATATATGATCTTCCTCACAATCCTAGAATTTCAGCACACGATTTCAGTTGTCGCGGGGAGCTGGTACATGGCCACAGCACAACTTACTGTTATTGTCTCCACTTCCCAGAGGCAGCGACGAAATTCAAGGCCCTCCACTCTCAGCCCCAGCCCCTTGCTCCTGGCAGCGGGTAGCACAGAGGGGTAGCTCTATGGCGCTGGCTTCATGGACAGTCACGGGTGGCCGAGCAGCTTCAGGGCTTAGGCAGCTGCGTGCGGAGGAGGGGCTACTAGCGAGCGAAGCGGGGCAGCCCGGGAAACTTTGCGGGACAAAACCATTTAATAGATAAGACACTTACGAGGCCGAACAAAGAGGAGGACGCTGGTGAGGTGGTGCAGCAGCTCCATGATCCGATGTTTTTCCAAATAATCTCTGGCTTGAAGTTCCCTGCTCTTCAGCCCTTCCATAGCTCAGCGTCCAGGCCGTTGCCAGGCGACCAGGCGGCGTCCCGGCCGCTTGACTCCGCCCCCGCTCCCTGGCGTGGTCACGTGACTGCCTCCCGCGGACCCTGAGGGCGGGGCTGGGTGCCTCTGCGCGTCCTCTGACTTTGTGTCATTCCGGGCGTGTCCGGCGAAGTCCTAAGGAGTGCTGTCGGTGTGAGTGGCGCTGGCTGCCGCTTGGCCCGGTGCCCGGCAGTTGGCTCCTGAGCTCCAGTGTGCAGCTTAGCTGCCCTGCCGGAAGACTGTTTTGTTGCTCGTTTTTTACTTTCTCTTTTAGAGTTTTTTAATTTTCATTAGTACAGGTTTTCAGTACAGGGGCCGGGAGATAGCTCAGTGGAATAAGCGCTTTCCTGGCAAGTTTAAGGGCCTGAGTTCAATCCCCGGTTCTGCAAAAATAAAAAACAAAACAAAACAAACAAAAAACAGGTTTGCAGTGCAGCCCTCCTGTCTGGCTTCTGCTTTTCGTTTCCCCTATGCCCCTCGCCGGCCCCCTCTCTCCATCTCTCGATTCTGCTCCCATTTGCAAAAGATCTCTTTATTTCCTATTGTCTTTTATTTTGCTCTCTAATATATTTTGTCTTTTTCATATAAGAAAAGCCATGCAATACGTTAGCGTGTGTGTCTGATTTATTTCACGGAACACTATTCCCCAGGTGCACCCCTTTTCCCTCAGATGGCTTAAGTTTCTCCTTCCTGGCAAAGTAGCACTCCGTTTGGGTATAAATACATTTCCTTCGTCCCTTTATCTGTTGATCGACAAACGAACTGCTTCCAAGATTTAGCTCTTGTGCTGCTGTAAACACGGGCATGTGTTATCAATGTAATGTATCTTTAAATTCTTTTGGGAAGATTCCTAGAAGGGAACGGCTGGGTCAAATGGAATTTGTAGTCTTGATTGTTTTGTTTTGGGTCTCTCTATGCACCCCGACTGGCCTCAAGCTCATGGTGATCCTCCTGCCTCCGCCTCCCAAATACTGGGATTATAGACGTGTGCCTTCACATCCAGCCACGTTATGATTTTTTTATATGGATTTTGTAGAAGTTTTAAACCTCACAATTTAATAAAAATAATTTTCCCGTATTTAAAAAAACAAAAACAGAGGGTAAATAAGAGGACCTGCAGCATCAATGCCAGGAGACAACCACGTCTGAAGCAGAAAGCACCCAAGGCGGGGGACATGGTAGGGACTACATCTGCCCTGAGACTGCTGAGCTACCTGGCAAGCTAGAAAAGCTCTCTTTGGCTGAGTGTTCTGAGTACGTAGGAGAATTAGGTGCTCAGCTTACCCCTGGCTCCTCGGCACTCCCTGAGCAATGAAGTGGGTGACTTCTCAAGTCCAGAGGAGGTGTTCCAGGAAGGGAAGGCGCTGGCCCTCTCCGAGGAGACTTGAAAACCGTGAGCCCAGGTTTGTAAGGCTGGCCTGGGTTTATGAAAAGGGATCTCTCAAAGACATGTGGGACAGTACTCAGCTGCTTTTTAGCGACAGTATCCTTTGCAGAAAGTCCCCATGAAGGCCCTCGTGCATTCTTGTAAGCAGATATGGGGGCCGCACCAGCAGGGCCACGGTGTCTCATCTCCCTCATTCAGACCTCTTTGACAGAGGTATGGCTGGCAATCTGAGTGACCTGGTGACACAGCTAAGCGGAACCCAGGGAACCCTGCTGCGGAAACTGCA